TGATCAGCCGAGAATTATTGACAGAGAGCTGACCATGTTGATCAGTCGAGAATTATTGACAGAGAGCTGACCATGTTGATCAGTCTAGAATTATTGACAGAGAGCTGACCATGTTGATCAGCCGAGAATTATTGACAGAGAGCTGACCATGTTGATCAGCCGAGAATTATTGACAGAGAGCTGACCATGTTGATCAGCCGAGAATTACTGACAGAGAGCTGACCATGTTGATCAGCCGAGAATTATAGACAGAGAGCTGACCATGTTGATCAGCCGAGAATTATTGACAGAGAGCTGACCATGTTGATCAGTCTAGAATTATTGACAACGATGCGAGAACAACTGACAAGGAACACCACTTCCTACAGCCAAAGGCATCCGTCATTTGTAAATGTCAAGGTGACTGACGTCAGAGCATCGCAGTCGGCACAATACCACCTACATACCGTGACACGCGGAGGAAGGGGAGATAACTCAGTCAATGTCATTACTGTGCTTATTGATGCCATTCATTTCACCTTTCAACACTGTTCAAGTGCTCTTTACAATGGCGATCGACACGTACATGTGTTATCAGTTTCAGGTAGATATCTGAAAAATAAAACTGCCACTTTCTATCCATGTATCCATCCATCCATCCATCCATCCATCCATCCATCCAATCATACGTCCATCCGTAACCTATTCACCTACCTACGAGTGCGCACGCACGCACGCGCACACACATTAATGATATAGCCAGTTAATTTTATCATAACTGAGTTCATATTAGTTCAGTGTCAGTTTAAGTTCGAGTCTCGTATTGTCATATAGGCTTAAAGAATTTATCGCGGGATTTAATATTTGATGGGTCATAAAGAGGTATTGGTGGCCTGTCATGAGAACAACGTTGTAAATAGCTTCCTCCGCATGTGTGTATCAGTCGAGTCAACCGTCCCTCCATATCTTTATTCTTGGTTATGGAAATCTAGTTCAACTTGCACCCCAAGGATTTTTATTTGGACCAGACATTTTGTACGTCAAATCGACTGTGAAACACTTAATCGGAATGCAGTAATATTTTTTAGTCTTAACGCCATGGTAATAGTTCTCATTGTGAAATACATCTTTAGGTTTGTAGTTATACAAATTCTGACAAGCTATTGCCACCAACGTATTTACGACCGCAAAGTGTTGTTACTGACCAATGAGCGCATATATACACAAAGAACTTAGTTAAGCACCCCCTGACATATCTCACGATTGAATGAGCCCCTGCCTTAACCCTTTGGAACATATCTGGGGCATGACTGGTGATCCTCCTGTACAGAACCTGGTCCAATTGGAAGCTGCTTTACACGAGGAATGGCGTAGACTGCCCCTTCAAAGGATCAGGAGGCTGACAGGGGGTATGAGGAAGAGCGTGCTGGCTGTCATACAGTCACTTGGAGGTTACACTCGGTTGACTCGGAATAAATTCAACATTAAACATTCCAGGGCCATACTTGTACAGACATGGTTTTGTGGGTTTTAAAATGAGCAATTATCATCATAAAATCAAGTCCAATCACTTTGTCGTTTTTTATGAGTCAAAGGATCATACGGGTCAGAAAAATATAGGGAGTGCTTAATTAAGTGTATATAAGTACATCGCACCACATGGGTTTGTAACGCTAAAAACTGCCATCAAGGTATATACTGTCACTGACGGGGTCTTAATACTATATAAAAGGAAAGGGGTGTAACGAGGTCAACACACCAAGTTCGTTCAGGGCGAATTCAACAATGCTCACTGTATTTATCCCATTTAAAGTATGCACACATTTCAAGCCAATAGATTTGCCTACAAAATGAGACATACAGCACAAAAACCGAAGCAGTACTTTGGAAGCTAGGGTCTTCGGAAGCTTGAAAAATCGCGATTTCTCGATTCCGAGCCAAAATCCCTGCTCAGAATTTGTAGCGGTAACTCATCCATTTTCTTGTTTATTTCACAGTATATACAAACGACATGCACCAAAACATGTTGAACTGATGGCACCTGTCAGCGCGCATGTCGCCATTCTTTCGGAGACACTTACATCTCACTGTCATAATGAGTACATTTATTCATCGCAAACAGAATTGTGTCGCCATTGACGACCTTGGCCTTAACCTGCCCCGCACTGAAAAGAGCAAGGGAGCTCATTGGCTAAATATAAAATATGTCCCATCAGATCGCTGACTCTTTTCAGTATGTGTTGACCTCGTTACATCCCTTTCCTTTCATATAGTACTAAGACCCCGTCAGTGACAGTATATACCTTGATGGCAGTTTTAGCTTTACAAGCCCTCTGACTTGGTCTGACATATGATCGCAATTTTAAATGCAAAACTAAATTGATCAAGACGTGATGTGGCTGTAACCATAACAAGTAATTCGAGAAGTTTATATGCCTGACATTCAGATGAATTTGAAAAACACCCGACAAGACATATCGCTTTCAGCATGTTGCTAGATGCTCATCTCCAACCTTCTCCCTCGGTGACTCTAACTGTCGTATTGAAAATCGTTAAACTTGCGAGTGCTGCCAATAGAGGTGAACATGCTTTTCGCCAACACCTGGTGTCATTAATAACTATTTGTTTGATATTTAATCACAAATTTGCCTTTTACGCCCATGAAATCTGTTTCGGCAGATATAAGACATATTTTCGTCCATGTTTTGAATAAATATAGTACTGTTCAAGACAGCACTGAAGTCACTAACTACATCACGGCGCAAGAGGCGACTAACGGGATCGGGAAGTCAGGCTCGCTGATTGGTTGACATTGAATCCCAATTGCGTAGATTGATGTTCATGAAGTTGATCACTGGATTGTCTGGTCCAGACTCGATTGTTTACAGACCTCCGCCATATAGCTGGAATATTGCTGTGTGCTGGGTTAAACATCAAACCGACCAAAGAACAGTACTATTAAAACACGAGTGTTGGGTAGTACGACCTTCAGCTCATCATGTACTAGAACAGGCAGATGGTACAAATAGCAACTAATCCCATGTCGACTTTCACCAGGCGGCTGAATCAAAGTACGTGGCCACATAAACAGTATTAATAATGCAAGTCCGGAGTTATTTATACCCCGTATGCATGCAGTTTCAACGACACCTGTTAAATGTTCATGAACAATATTTGCTATCAATGTGCTATATTGACATGCCCTGTAATGGGTAGCGCTGTCCTTCTGAGTCCTTAACGGAAATGTGTGTTGAAATTAGAAGAGTTTACAGCGGAGCGTGTTGACACCAAGCACAGCGACAAACACGCTCTTCGCTACATGCATATTTAAAGGCTTCACCTTGAATGTTTAGTGCTTCTATTAGGGCAAACATACGACCAGATTCAAGTATAGGCGGCAAGAACAATTATGTCCCACATTGTTGATATGTGGGTAGTTGAATAGGTGGCGTCAAATCCCACAAAGAAAGATTCGAAGTCTTTTTTTTTCCATTTCCAAACAGCAAAAATATTGTTATTTTATTGTTTCTATAAAATTGGTATGTGATGAAATAACCCATTGTTTCCCAGGACGATTCCACCGTGCTTCGGGGAGACAATAGCCCAACCGTCTCAAGTGCGGTCGCTTGCTGTGGAGGTACTTCATCGGGAGTGTCAGGAACCGTTGTTTATGGTACCAATTCAAATGTTCTAATGTCTGTGATTCGTGATTTGCCACAGTCATGTCTCGTGCACACGAAAATAAAAAGAAAATTTTTCTCAAACAAAAAAGCTGACACGGTGAGATATAACAATTCAAGGTGGCGTTGAACCATTCTAACCCCTCATCACCCTCCTAAGTTCATTTATTCATCATCAGGGACAAACTGAAAATGAAAATATATTTTGACGCGATTGGGGACAATTTGAGACATTCATTTTTCGAGTGAGTATTTGAGTATAGTTTTACGCCGCTTTTAGAATATTCCCACAATATCAGGCGGGGGACACCAGAAATGGGCTTCACACATTGTACCTATGTGGGGAATTGAACCCGGGTCTTCGGCGTGATGAGTGAACGCTTTAACCACTAGGCTACCCTACTGCCCCTCATTATTCGAACTGAGAGTTGCGAGTGAATCAGTCATTTCTTGTCATTGTCGAAAACTTCATAGGAGACTCGGTGACCTGTCGTTTTCCCTTTTTGAATTTCAATGTTAATTGTTAAATCTAAATTACAGTTTACTGGTAATGAGGAAATGTATTGTCATCTCGAATCACCTTGGTGAATATTTGGGGACACATAAATATTGGTCATATGCTGTAACGTTACACCTTATAACCACCGTCGTCATGGGTAGACTGAATAACGTATTTCAATGCAATGGATACACATCAGAGGATCATATCTGCTGTTCATGATCACACTGTAGGGATCAATGTTACTGTAGATGTATATAGTAGCATGATGTATGCCGAATACGTAAACAAACGCGACAAACAATTTAAATAATCATAATAAATATCCGCTCGTTGTACGGTTTGTCTACATAATCAGCCAGTGTTTATGAATCGCTATGAAATATTGTCGATATCAGGTGTTCCAGGATAGGGGAGCGTGTCCTATACCCCCAGAGACACCTGTTACCGACACATGTAAGATTACACATGATCTTGGAATAGATGAAAGATATCAAGGCACGAATAGATATCAAGACAAATGTCACGGGCATACCACTGTATACTGTAATAGTACTATCGGTTCACAAAACCAATGTCTATACATGTTGTTATATAGACGGATACCACAGATACTTTAATATGCAAAATGTAGATAGGTGACATGGATATACTGCATGCAACATTCAGGTGATAAATATATTTATTGCTATTTATCGTTAGAGCATATCGGAGATATGAAGAAGGTTATCTGAAATGTATTTATATTTTTTAAAGATATTGCTTATTTATTGATGTGTTGTGCCTCAAAAGGCAACATTCCTGCAATACCACTGTGAGGGTTTGGGCATAATCAAGTGTAGTCAAGAAATATTCAAACAGAAATACACCTCCCTCTTTATATCTCCCCATTTCTCTGTGTCTCTCTTCTCTCGCCCTCTGTTCTCTATCTCCCTCTCGCTCTCTCTGTGTCTTTCTCCTCTCCTTCCCCTGTTGTTTGTCCCCCTCTCCCCCCTCTCTCTCTCTGTTTTCCATCTCTCTCCCCTCCCTCTGTTCTCTATCACCCGCTCTCTGTCTCTGTCTCTCTCCTCTACCCCCCCCTGTTCTCTATCTCCCTGTTCCTCCCCCTCTCTCTGTTCTCTATCTCCCTGTCTCTGTCTCTCTCCTCTACTCTTCCCCTTGTTCTCTGTGTCTTCTGTTGCTCCCCTCTCCTCTGTTCTCCTATCTCTCTCTGTCATCTACCTCCCTCTCTGCGTGTCTCTCCTCCCCTCTGTTCTCTGTCACCCTCTTCCTAACCTCTCTCTGTTATCTATCTCCCTCCCCCCTCTCTGTGTTCTCTATCTTCCTCTCTGTTTCTCTCTCTGTTATGTATCACACACCCCCCTCTCAGTTCTCCACCCCGCCAAGCTCTGCTTTATACATGGAACAGAAAGTTTAACCATTGAAATAGCTGAAACTGTACCGTTATGCTCTGGCAGGTGTTTTATAGCTCATGATTTGAAACTGTCACGTAATACACTTGTTTAGTTCTGCCATTCCTAACACACTACAACGTGATATTGCGTGCTAATAAATGTGTCTTTCGGCAATGAAAAGCATATATACTTTCAATTTAAGCCTACTTTTTTTAATGACGTCAATGTTTCAGATAACTCCAAATCCTCAGTGAGGCTGAATCGTGATGTGGCAAGGAGAATCAAATCACACAGCCAGGTTGTATTTCAAGATCCCCCGATGAATTACCGTGTGTCACGCTTACCGGCTGTGGTAGCGATACCTGCCAAGTTCACTCAGTTTCAAGGTATTACTGAGATGAAGCTATGTGGGGGGTTCATTTGTTGAACCGAGATGCATGTCAAAGAGCTGGAACACAATGGTGGCAATATACATGGATGCCAAGATTGCAGCTCTAATGGGAGCGGATTGTCATTAATCTTAAAAAGTACCGTGCATCAAGTTACAAAAATGTAATTTAGAAATATCAAACTGTCAAAGTTACAACTGTATTTTGTATGTAATGATATCGGATGTATAGAATCAAGATGTCGGTTTTTCCATGTTTCGTTAATCCATAAGCCATTAAGGAAGGATGGTAATTTATGGATGAACAACTTCTTTATTGCAGCAAGAGCGACGTTTGAGTGTAGGTTCTAACACCGCCGGGGCGGTGGGGTAGCCTAGTGGTTAAAGCGTTCGCTCGTCACGCCCAAGCCCCGGGTTCGATTCCCCACATGTCCCCCGTCGTGATATTGCTGGAATATTGCTAAAAGCGGCGTAAAACCCAACTCACTCACTCACTCTAACACCGTCATCAAACAAGTCATATGGCACTGTTGATAATTCACACGGAAACATATAACTGTATGGTAGCTTTTGTACTTACAATTTTTTAAAGTGACATAGTTTCAGGCTTTTTGGCAGTCGTTTTTGTTTCAGTGCTAAAATACATGGTAAGCCTGTATGGATTAGTGACTTGGGAATTGTGCTCCTTTCAGTAATTAACCATTAACCAGCAATTCACGGCGAGTGAAGCCAGGAAAGGACTTTACACGTATTACCCATGTTAGAATTGAACATGAGCCTTCCGCGCATGTTTTAACCGTTCGGCGTCTCCACCACACTTCCTAACGGTGCATTAAGGACTGTTATATTCGCGCCTTACCTTAGCGCGGACTGAATCTGTTAAACGGGGTGCTCTTTCATGACACGTTCCTTAACGTTGAGGTGACACCAACATTAATCCGCAATAAAGATCATCCGTCTTTAGGTAGGCGAATAAGGTCACCCCTCCTTTATTTCCCAAAGCATTGGATTTCAAAGAAGTCAAAATCTGTATCATCTTATTCCATTTAAGACGATCTGTGTCTCAATTACGTCAAGTGCCAAAATATGATCTGCTCGCTTGTAGTTCATAGATGATGTGATAATTGTTTAAAGGTGGGTTTTTGTAATTGAATATTAAATCAGATTTTCCGATTAAGGTTGGGGACAGAAAAACACACTCCATTTCGTATTATCCTGTGAAAAGTACCATGGCTGAAGAGAAAAGGTTCAAGTGCCATAGCTATAAATCAAACAAAAACACTGTAACATGTTTCTGATGACAAAGAGCAGAGGTTACAAACTGTGAAACCTCAATGACTACACAAGTGAATTGTACGGTTTAACAAATATTTCGAGATTATGAATTTGTAGCTGTAATTGTCCATTTCCTGATATAGATATTACCTGAGACAGAGCAGGTCAGTGGGTTGAGGGGCAACCCTCACACACACACGCGCACGAACGCACACACGCACGCGCGCACACACATCCTTCTCATTTTTAAAGTAAACTAATCATATTAATCATATTAACATAAAAATCCGAACTGAACCTTTAACCGTTCAATAAGTACAACCGCAAATTGCTTCCTCATTCATTTACATTTATAGTATTATTTTCAGTGAACCCGTGGCCCGTTCTACTTAAATCTGTATATTTCCTTACACCAGTTACAATGAAGGACATAGCAGGGTCTGAAATGATAGGTTCCACTGGCTCTTGGTTTATGTTTAAAAGTGTGTTGTATTGAATACAATTTGATTTGGGCTTGTTCCCGCAGTCATGATAAAGATATTCAGTTCTGAGGTAAAGTGATCATTTTATTAAAGCGGTATGGCCTTGTAGGTGCCCCAGAACAGAATGGGTGAGTGAGTGGACCAGACAATCATGTGATCAACAGTATGAGCATCGATCTACGCAACTGGGATACGATGACATGTGTCAACCAAGTCAGCGAGCCTGACCACCCGATCCCGTTAGTCGCCTCTTACGACAAGCATGGGTTACTGAAGATCAATTCTAACCCGGATGTTCACGGGTTCCCCAGAACAGAAAAGGAGATGGGAGGAGATGTGTCTTATCGTTAAATAATAAGAACAAGATGGAAGGAAATATCAAATACAGAAATATACACATACATACTACTGCTTAATTAATCTGTCTATCCATAAGCACACTAAGTATAATCAGTATAAATCGAATACAGAGCAGAATGAAATAATCGATGTCGTCACATGTTTCCATGGCAACTGAACCCATATTTTTATAGGTTGAAAAGAAACATCAAGCAGATTGCGGAATACTTAGGAATAGAATAATTGTTTCGATTCCGTCAAATAGCACGTTTTTGGCGACCTCAATGTATTTGCGAAGTAACATATATATTCAATAGCGGTGATTTGCCCCGGAGGTTGAAGCCCTAAACGATTCTAATTCAATACGACCACGATTTCAGATCGCAGCCACTGCTAAATTTGTTGGTTAGGTTTTGCGTGACTCCTTTCATCCGTTTGACAAATGTGCCAGTATTGATGCCCTGATTTGTTGTTTTGAGCAAACTGAAATGCTCGCACTATTTGTACTATTAGAATTGACTTTTCTCTGTGTTTCACAAGAACTGAGGGAGCTGAACAGTTTATCTGTTAAAGAAGTATAATACAAAGGATTTCACAATGGAATTATATCAATCGAACAATCGATTCTCTACTTACAGAACTAAACCATCACACACACACACACACACACACACACGCACGCACACACTCTCACACACGCACACGCACGCGCACGCACGCACACGCACGCACACACACACACACACCATACACCCCTTGAGGGACGGATACGGGAATTCTCTTTCATCCTCTGGCTCATTCGTAAACTATGTTCACCATCACTGAATACATTGACGAGTCTGACAAGGATAATAGCAGAGTCGTACATATATTTGTGAACAGTTAATGAACTGTATATTTTTCACTGTAATGCAGGTAAGCTTTTTCAGGGGAAGTTGCCCCTAACCAGGGCTCTTTACAACCACACATTTGTCTTCGGACGACTTTAATACAGCAAGTAGTGTGTGCAAAAATGCATTGCATCAGATGGAAACCACAGTTGCATCAATCTAATCTTTCTAAAATCTTAACGTCCATCAATATACCCGGAGCAGTATTCATATAAGCTTATGCTTGTTTACCAATCCGGTTCCTATCTTTGGAAATAAATATGTTTAAATCATACTGGGGTCACACACCCGATGTTCAGCTCATGTTTGCTTGGCCATTTTACTGTGAACTGTTTTCGCGCGACAGGAAAAGTAGAATATACTCGTTTCCACCGCATTGGGTTTAATGTCATGTACATTAACTATCGATCACCTGTCAATCAGACAACATCGCTGACCAGTTAGGACAACCCAAAGGGATACAGAATCCGCCATTTTTCTCTGACAACTCCAAACCTGTGTGTCTTTTATCAAAGTATTAGTTGAAACAAATGTTAAAGTCCACTGTAGACAGAATTTGTCTTCAAACACAGTAGATATAAAGCACAATCACAAATCATATGTGGATAAAGAGGCCACAGAATTTGGCAAGTCGACACTGTTGATGCTAATAATGGTGAAATCAAATGGACGTACTTATCTGCCCTTGATTGCATATGACGTAAGCGACAAAGCTCGATCTACTTCCGGCGCGTATAACAACACTATCTCAGGAAATATACCATATCATGATGTTTAGAATGTAAGCTTACAAACCATACATATAGACCACGTCTTCTCCTCTCTTATCGTAATATACTGAAGGCAGAAACCCCTCTATGTAACCGCTTCTAATCAACAATTAAACGAGAAATGTGTTACTTCGGTTGAATAGAAAACGTATCGCATAATTCAAACTTTGACACATTTGCTAAGCATATACCTTTCTTCATTTGTAAATTCACACTACTTATGTTGGTAGTTATTGTTAAACAGGATTGGAATAGATTCCCGTGGTTCTAACCACAGATACACGACGTGGTAATCAGTACATTCGTCTAATATACTACCCATCAAAAGTTTAGACCCACTTAAAACACTCACTATATGGTATGTGTATATATACGGTTATATCGAAGATGGATTTCTCCACTAACTTAAGGGGAACCATCTGCAAACCTTATGCAGATGAACTGCACGAGGATCATGCATCATTTTCTGAAAAGCATGTGCAAATATCGTGCATGTGAACAGCTGCGTTTTGGTGTAAAGTTTTGTTAAGAATTCACCAATTTTCACTGAGTTTCATGATTTATTGAACTCATGACAATAATCTTTTCAGCGTTACGAATTTGTTTTACAATAAATCGGTTCATGTGTAAACAGTACCTTTACACGTTATGGAACATTTAGGAAAATCTAGTTTAGAAC